CAGCCATTACTAATAATATTAATTAAAAAAGGATTTACTATAAATCCTAAAGAAGATTTTAGTTCATGCAAATCTTTAAACCTTTTTTGAAAGTCTTTTCAATCTCAGAGTCATCATACTGAATTGAAGGATTAGAAGTAATCATCTCCTTCATTTGAGGAAAATGATTAAGTTTTTTCAAGCCAAGAACTTTCTGAAAAAGAATAATTTTTTTTGAAAACTAAATATCGTTTGTGCAAGATCAGATATATTTTTTTCTTTTTCCTGAAGAAACAAATTCAGACTTTTTAAATGTTGCATTATATCAGTCAAAAACAAAAAATCTTGCACAAAATTTATATCGTCTAGGATTTCAAACATCTTTTCTTCTTCAATCAAAAAACAATTGGCTCTAATAGTTTTTTAAATCTATAAAAAACATCACTACTTGAAAGCCATCTTACAGAACAGAAAAATGACACGTCACTTGGCTCATCAGCAAGATCCAATTCATTTATAAAGTTTCTAAACTGTCTGTGATTTTTTGCATTTGCTCGAATATAATTTACAATTTTTAAAACAGATTTAAAAACATTTGGAAAGTTAAAATGTTTTGCAGCTAAATGTTCTTGATGAACAACACAATGAATTGGAATAAATTCTGGATACTTAGGATCACTTTTTAATAAGCCTATAAGTCCTAAATATTTTTCAGCCATTGCTGATGTACCATCTGTAGCAACACTAACAAGCTTGTTGATAGGTACATTAGCTTTAAGCAGAGCTTTGTTAAGGGCTTCCTTGATATCAACTCCACGAGTTGTGTCTTTCAACTCAATCAAATCTAGTAACTCTTCTTTTACAATTACGCCTGAAGTCACATATCTAACGAATACAGCCATTTGAGGCTTGTCTTGAATATCTGTTAATTAATATACAGCTAAACTAAATACTTCTCAGTTTTTTAAATCGTTTAGTAATTGCTGTTCAACATCAATACCAATCTCAGATATTTTTCTTTCGGTTGTATGCCAAGAAATAGGAATTTGTGATACTAATCTTTGGATTTTGCTATTACTAGGATCTAAAACTGACCGGACATCTGAAATGTTTTGCTTTATAAATTTCCATCGGTATAAGGATGTTTACCTCTGGCAATATTCCATGCTATAACAAAACTTGCTTCTGTTGTATTATTTGATTCTTGGCTGTAAGATGAAATATTTAGTTGTTAATTTATATTTTTTGTTTTGAGCAATTCAATTTTATTCTTTCTGTAATTTGAACTTAACGGATATTCTTCAGAAACTTGTTTATGTTTTGTTTCATAATGACGTTTAACATTGCATGTCTTGTTATGAGCAAGTTCTATATTGCAAATTAAACACATAGGTTTATTGTTTCTTTCAATAAATGCATATTTTTGTGTCCAATCATTATGAAATATTCTGTTTTCGACTTTAATTTTTCTTTTCCTCCTTAATTTGCGAAACAAACTAGTGTTTACTTTTACTTTATCCATTTTTGCAAGTTTTATGACAATAAGAATGATGGAAGTAATTATATGGAAATATATTAGCATATAACAATTTGGAAAAAAGCCGTATGCGGCTCGCAAGCCGCAATAACATTCCAAGAGCCGCATGCGGCTCGCGAGCCGCCATTTGGCCATCCCTGATTTTGACAATAGCCCAATATCTTTTGATAGGATGTAGTTAGTGACTATTTGGTAGATTGTAGTGTTTTTCAACGAAATTTACTTTATGTCCTAGAGTAGTGAAATCTTAAAAATAACAAAAGCTGCTTCTTGAGACATTCTTTTTTCTTTTACCACATTCACATATTGCTTGCCAAACTAAGAATTTTTTAGCAAATTTTCAAATTACAATGCATTTATATTTGGAATTCAGTTTCTTGTGATTAATTGAATAATATTAGTGTGTGGAAGAGATAGGAAATATGCAGTACAATATTTTTCATCATTAATAACACTGTGTAACAAATTTTTATTTTTTTCTGCTCATGGTTTTAAAGTGTGTTTTTCTAAATTGCTGTTATTCCAGAAAAACTTTGTTTCTGTGACAATGAAATTTGGAAAATTGTGTGTTTTTGAGAAAATTCTCAATTTGCTAATGAATGCCAAGCTTCCTCATACAATATTCCTGAACTGCTAGAGTTGTTCAGGTGTTTCTACACTTCTTATAAACATAGTTGGACCTGCTCTTGCAGCCAACCTTCAACCTCTGTCACATCGTCATAATGTTGCTTCTCTTTCTCTTTTCTACAAATACTATAATGGGCACTGCTCGAAGGAGCTTGCGTCTCTTGTGCCATCTACTAAAATTCATTCTCGTGTTACTCGTCATTCAATCAAGTCATCCTTTTTCTGTTACTGTTCCTAAGTGTTCCAAAAACTCTTATTCGTCTAGTTTTTTTCCTTGAACATCAGTTCTTTGGAATTCACTTCCTTCATCTTGCTTTCCTGATTCATATAATTTGCAATCTTTTAAGTCGTCTGTCAATCGTTACCTTGCTCTCCAATCTTCATCTTTTCTCTTCCAGTAACTTCCAACACTAATTAGTGGTTGCTGGCAGCCTTGTTGGAAGCAAAGATAATTAAAAAAAAAAAAAAAAAAAAACTTCTCCTAAACACTCGAGAATGTTCAAGAAACTCTCAGAACGTTCTTGAATGTTCCAAAAATAGCTGTACAAGTATAAAGGCACAAGTGTATAGAACCAAGATTCTGATTTCTTTCAATTCAGACTGAAAAGATAACCATTTGTAGTTGAAGAGAAGTTATTTATTTGATATGGCAACAAGACGTTGTTTGCATCCAGCTGATTCATTTTGCTACATGTGTGATTAATTCATAAAGAACAAAAATGTTAAAGGCCTACAAGGCATACTTGGGCGTTCTGGTCGAGGGCCAAGACATATTTTGGGCACTGCATTCAAGAAAACTATTAAAGATAAACTGAACAGTTGCTTCATCTAGTTCATTTTAAGGAGTTGTAATTTACAAAGTTTTGTCATAAGTTGTGTACTGTAGGCAAATACGTTCCATATTTTGAAATTTTGAACAGCCATAAAGTTTGCTATCTTGCAAATTTGGCAAGAGTCAACAGATCACTCAAACAACTGCTACTTCTGCATGGTAAACCCAAAAAGTTGTCGCACTGGCAAAGATGCCTCTCAGATCATTTATCTAGACATACTTTCTTCCATCACCCCAGTATCACACAGCCCTGATCTGCCTGTTCTGACTCCTTCTAGGCGGCATTGGCCATCTTCAGGAGATAGCAGCAAGTCAGATAGTGCGGCAGATACTAGAGATATGGACTACGATTCTGCAGATAAAGTTGGGGATAGAAAGTCATACTTTTCTAACCAGAAAGACATGAACAATTTAATTAGAAATCTTAGGCTTACTAAATTGAATGCTGAGAATCTGATATCCAGGCTCAAACAGTAGAACTTGGTTGATGATAAGGTACAAGTCACAAATCAGAGGAAGTGGCATCAAAGATTCTCCAACTTCTTCAGTTAGCATGATGAGTTGTGCTTCTGCAACAATGGAGCCTCAAAGCCACAATGGAAACAACTACCAGCGGTAGTGGGTAGTTGTTTCCATGTTTTGAGATGCCAACTCTGTGCATCTCAAAGGTTGTCAAAATGTTGCAGAGTGCATTAAAGTATGGTCACTATGGATGAAAGGTTATCAGTGACTTCAAAATGGTATTATTCCTCGTGGGTCTTCAAGAAAGTTTGCACGAAATTTCCTTGTTTCCTCTGTCTCTGGGACAGCAATGACACTTAAGGCACATTATTGAACAAAGGACTGGCCACAACAGACCGAGCTCTCTTTTGGGAAGAGTAATGTGAAGTTGGAGCCGCTGATAGAACTTTATAAAGTGCTTATGTCACCGCTGCACACCAAGTTAGGTATCATTAAGAAACTTGTCCCTGCTCTTGACAAAGAATCAGCAGCGTTTCAATGCTTCCAAGATATTTTTCTAAAGCTGTCCGAGGCTAAAGTCAGGGCTGGTATATTTGTTGGACCACAGATCAAGCAGATCATAGAATATAAGGTTTTCACAAAGCTGTTGAACAGGACAGAGAAATCGGCTTGGAGTTTTTTTTTTTGTTGCAGTTGTTCAGGGCTTCCTTATGGTAATCACAATCTTTCACTTTTTTAACAAGATCTCAAAAACAGAAACCTTTTTTCTTCCACTTCCTGATTTCCTTTTGATTGTACCAGTGTCTTTAAATTGTTTCAACATTCTGCACTGTTTTCAAAGCAATCTGTTCTGCAATATGCACTCTTCAAAAATTGTTTTGTTTTGATGATGTTTCAATTAAAACTAATTGTTTTGATAACAGAGTTATTTAAATTTTGAATAACACAAATACAATGACATTTTAACAATTAGCTAGTTACAGTAATGTACAGTTTTCATTAACAGTACATCAGAACATATGCAGATTCTTTCTGGTACATGTCTTATATATCGATATGACATATATATATATATATAGATATGAAAGAACAAAATTGTTTAGTTTTTCAATGATATAAAACCTAGATTTAAAAATTGATATATAAATAAGAAATTTTAAAATTATTTTTTTGACCCTATAATGGTCAAGCTTGTAGATATTATTTTGATCCCATAATGGTTAACATCTTTTCAATATCATTCTTATAATATAAAATAAATAAATTTATGAAAAGACAAAAAAAATGTTTCACTATTAATTTCTATTTTTATCTCAATTTATTTTTATTACTTTTTATAAATCTTTAAATGAAAAATGAAAAAAAGCATTTATAATGCTTTAAACATAAACAAAAATATTTTCATTAAACTGATTAAATAGTTTTTACCATATTCTCATATTATTTACTATATATTTTGCTCTCAATAACCATTCTGATAATATTGATGTGTAAATATATATTATAATATGATTGTCAGTATACTAGTATAAAAGTCATTATTTTTAACAATAAAATTTTAAGGTGATGTACTTGCTGATGTTATTAAAAAATTCAATCATAAGTGAGTTTATGCAGATTCCTTGTGTATGGACCATGCTGTTTATTCAATACCTTTACTTCGTTCTCAGACCAGGTTTTGTTTTTATTATGATTTGCAACATAAATATTGTTTTTTTTCAATTAATCCTTGAAAGTATATTTATTATGTAGTGTTCTTTAGTAATCTTGCTAAATCAGATTCAGCAGGATCAATTATTTTAGTTTTTATGTTGATAGTAACCTTCTTAAAGGATACCATTGATTTAGCTGGAATGCATCATGCTTTTTATGGATTTTTTTAATATAGCATTATTAAAATTGTATTTTTATTGTATTTTTGTATTGTAATATAAGTTCTGATAAAATAAAAAAAAATTACATTGAAAATATACTGTGTAACGCAAAGTCTGTCTTGTAAACAATAAAATAAAAAAATAATAGAAAAATCTACGATATTGTTAAGTTCATATCACATGTTATTATAATGTATAAACAAAATAATTGTTTCAAATTTTATTAGTGTTTTTGTTTCCAACTGCATTTTAAACTATTTGCTATTTTATATTTATATTTGTATTAAAAGTATATTTATATATTTTAAATACCACTATTTGCTGGTATTTTTATATATTTATATGTGTGTGTGTGCGTGTGTGTGTGTATATATATATATATATATATATATATATATATATATATATATATATATATATATATATATATATATATATATATATATATATATATATATATATATATATATATATATATATATATATGTGTGTGTGTGTGTGTGCTATACTCAATCCATATGTAAGGTCACAATTTTCAATATCATTTTAAGAATAAAGTATCATAAAGAAACCAATTTTGGAAGATATATAAAAATGTATAGCATAATAAGAAAAATTATCAATAAAACAAAACTGGCACAACAAAAATAAATATCTAGTATTTAAAATATCCTCCACATGCATCTTTTTTGCAAATATTCAACAAGATTGTTGCAAATTTTGATTGATTGTAAAATTCATTTTGAAATCTAGTTCTTGTTTTTGGTTTTGACTAGTTTTTCATCCATCTAAGTCCAAATAGATTGGATTCAAATCTGGTAACCGAGCTGATAAATTTTTTGATAAGAATAATATTTTTTTATCCTTGTTTTGACTGTTACTTAAACAGTCAAAACTAAAAATAATAAAATATTATTTTTATCAAGACTGTTATCTTTATAAAGTAACTATGCAGGTTCTAGCAACTTTATGTATGTGTAATGGTTGGTTCAGGGTGTATAAATGTTGCACACTTACTTTGTTAAAAATAAAGCAGCCACGAATATCGATACTTCCATGGGCAACTTGTAATCTGGATACAACAAACCAATTACAAAATTTTTCAGATTTAAATCTTTTACCACAAAATTTGCTTTTTTTATTTGTTTTCAGAAAACTATTTTTATCACTGAAAACTATTTTTATCACTGAAAATTACTTTTCATTTTTCTTTGGAAAAGTGAAAAGTAGTTTTTAACAAATTTATTTTTTACATCACTATCACTACTACACCATTACACAACTATCATTACTACACCATTACACAACTATCACCACTACACCACTATAATCCTGGGAGTCGATCTCTCACCATTTACATAGGTTTTCTAACAGTTGCATAAACACCACATTTTTTCATAAGTAATGTGCTTTTAAATATAAATAAAGAAAGTCTTTTGTCACAGTTTTTGTTAAATGTGTTGGTAAGTTAACAATAACTTAACCTTTTTAGTTAACTCTAGTTAAATGACGTTGGATTTTAAATTGTGATTTTAAATGTTTTTTTACAGTTTTTCTGATGCTATTCTTTGAAAATTTTAATCTTTTTACTATTTCTCTGTTACTTATAATAGAATTATAAGTCATATTATTTGTACTTTGACGCTTTTACTTATTATTTGCACTTTGACGCTTTTCTTACTGCTTTTCAATGCATTTCTTTGTAAATATTTAAAACGTGATTAAACTGGTCACCATAAACAATTTTATGCAAACGTTTATAGAAAATTATCAGCTTATCATATAAATTGATAAAATTATTATGAACAGCAGTTGGCTTGAGAAGAGAGTTGGACGGAAATCAATTAAAAGTTTGTGCACCTTTTTTTTTTGATACCTTTTTCAGATATATATTTTTCTTTATTAACACATTTTTAAAAATAATTAAAAAAATTTACAATAAGTGAATATGTTATTGATATATATACTTTTGTAAATTGTAAATTTTAAGTATGAAAGGTAAAAAATGATTTTTTTTTTGACGATAAAATTCGTCACTTAAGTTTCTTTTGACTTTCGTCTAACTTATCTGTGTTGTTTAAAACAATTATAACTATTTTTTAAATTACTGCAAAAATACAAACATAATTAGCTTGAATCTCCTTTTTTTTAATGCAGAATGTGCTAGTTTTTTTTTTAATGTTTCATACTGTTTTTGTTATTTAATTTAATTTGTTTTATTATTATTATTTTTTAATTTTTAGTTTTATTAACTGAATTATTTGGTTAGCACAAAGTGATGCAAAGACTATGCAGTCTTTGTGTCACTTTGCGCAAGACTTCTTTGGTATTTGTATTATTATAAATCACTAAACAGAGTAAAAAGACTGAAATATGATTTTGTGAAATTAGACAAAAATTAGAAAAAAGATAGCTTTCTCATATGAATCTAAATTAAATTTTTTTCAAAGTGATCTCAGACAACATGTACAGCTCCCTATTGGAATGAGAAATAACATTCAGTACCAAATTCTAACTGAAAAACTTGGTGGAGGAAGTTTCATGGTGTTTGGAATTTTCTTTGAACAAGAAGTCGGTCTATTGATCAACACTATTTCCATGGACATTTTAGAAAACAATTTATTATAATATGCTGAAAAAACGATGCTGTGTAATACACCTATCCAACTTAAATTCTACCATTTTGCGCGGCGGGGACTGAACTCTAATTGTGTGGGTAAAAGTCGAAAAAACTTCCTAAATATATGTATTTGAATTAGTATTTATTTGTATTTATCTCATCTTTTGAATTCAACATGATGGCAAGAGGTAACTGTGCAGTAATAAGGTGTTCAAATAGCCATTATAAACTTTTGAAGTGGAAAAAACAAGAATGTAATGTTCATGAAGGTTTAAAAAAAGAACAATGTGGTTGTAATCGTCCTTTCAATCTTTACTGTTTTCCAAGTCCTTTAAGAAATTCTAGAGAAAGAGAAAAGTAGAAAATTTTATTAAAAAGGGAAGGTAAAAATAAGAAAAAATGGAATCCATGCAACAGTGATCATGTATGTTCGATGCATTTTGTAGATGGAACACCTACCATTGCTAATCCAGATCCTACTTTAAATATGGGATATAAATCTACTAATATTAAGCTAAGAAAGAGTTTAAATAAACGTTGTCCAAAATCGAACTTTTTAATTTTAAAAGGTATTTAAAAGCACAGAATGTAATGACACTAAAAATAATACAACTGAAGATAATACCAATGAGTTATGCAGTAATAATAACGATATTGCAATTTATCTACCACCCTCAAGCTGTGAACATACATATGCTAGCCAGTCATTGCTAAATGTGTGTGAAGGGTGTAATTCTAAAACATCTTTGGTTGATTCTCTTGTTAAAAAAGTTAATTTCTTGAATATATCCTTGAAGCAACTAAATCCAAAACAAGTTAATCAAACTAAGAAATTATTGATTTTTTCATGCAAAAAAGTTAAAACAGACAAAAAAATGAACTTTTATACAGGGATATCTACAATAGCTTTATTTAATGCCATCTTCTTACTTATTATACCATTTCTTCAAAAGCTTAGTTACTGGCGAGGACCAACACATGTTCAGAATACTAGCAAGTTAAAGCACAGATTTCAGTCAACTAAATATAGAAAACTTTCTCATTGTGACAAATTTTTTTTAACACTTATGCGACTTTGTCTTGGTATTCTCAATGAAGACATTGCAGAACGATTTGGAATTTCTCCTACTACTTCTACTAACATATTTTCCACATGGATTAAACTTATAAGCAATATGTTAGGTAGTGCTCTTATTGTATGGCTTCCACGTGAAACCATCAGGGAAAATTTGCCTAGGGTTTTTAAGAATTCAGGATATTAAAAGTGTTGTGTGATTATTGATTGTGCTGAAGTTTTTATTGAATGACCCAAGTCTCTCTTAGCACAAGCCTCAACTTGGTCTGATTATAAACAACACAATATGTTTAAGTTTCTTGTAGGATTTTCTCCTAGTAGTTTTATCACTTTTTGTGGAAGATGTTCAGATCATTTTATAACAAAAGACAGTGGTTTTTATAACTTTTTAGAGCGTGACGATGAAGTCATGGCAGATCGTGGATTTCAATCTATACTAATAACTTTCAAAACTAAAAAAGTTCAATTTTTTACAAAGTTTATTTAAACTCCTTCTTGGCTTTATGTTAGGAATGGTAGGTGTTCCATCTAAGTTGTGTAATTTGCAAACATTGGGGGTGAATGGGTGATGTTCATCAAATGTATGTACGTTAACTAAAAAAATTGAGGTGGCAGTTCACGTTCACTTGCCAAATAAAGGTGATCGCCGCCCACGTTCATGGCCTGCTAAGGTTACAAAAGTTAAACAGCGCAAAAAAATAGTGATCACAATTGCAAGCGTGAATGAAAAAAACAGCACAAAATTAATTCTAAATAAGTTAAGTTATTTCTAGAAATTAAACTTACTAATGCTTCAAGTTTTAATAAGATTAAAACCAGAAGGGGAGGGGTATGAAAATGTCATTATGTCAAATCAAGATTCTTTACAAAAGACTGCGATGTTGAAGCCTGGAAACAAAAAAGACCTAAAATATTGGCCTCCCTGGCCTAAACTTAAGAGCAACAAGTTGCACTTTCCTAGCCTTTTTCTGATACAGCACTAATAATTATACGTAACAAACTTAGAAAAAATTTACTTCGTGTTGAATTACTTTCCTAAAAATATATCGTGCTTACAAGTCCATAGGGATTATATTTTTTTATTATGCCGTATTTTCCACTTTAAC